TTTTTAATATATGAAATTTATTGTCAAATTGGTTTCCACACAACACCCAGTGCTCATCCCAAAAGGTGCCCTCCTCAATACCCATCACCCACCCTCTCCTCCCTCCCACCCCCCATCAACCCTCAGTTTGTTCTCAGTTTTTAACAGTCTGCAAGAGAAATTTCTAAAAGACTTTTATGTGATGAAAAGATGCTCAACATCACTCATCATCAGTGAAATACAAATCAAAACCACAATGAGATACCACCTCACACCAGTAAGAATGGCTAAAATTAACAACTCAGGCAACAACAGAGGCTGGTGAGGATGTGGAGAAAGAGGATCTGTTTTGCACTGCTGGTGGGAATGCAAACTGCTGCAGCCACTCTGGGAAACAGAATGGAGGTTCCTCAAAAAGTTAAAAATAGAACTACCCTATGACCCCACAATTGCACTACTAGGTATTATCCAAGGGATATAGGTGTGCTGTTTCAAAGGGGCACACGCACCCCAATGTTTGTAGCAGAGCTATTGATAATAATAGCCAAAGTATGGAAAGAACCCACATGTCCATCAACAGATAAATAAAGATGTGGTATATATATACAATGGAGTATTACTCGGCAATCAAAAATAGTGAAATCTTGCCATTTGCAACTACGTGGATGGGACTAGAGGGTATTATGCTAAGCGAAAATAGAGAAAGACAAATATATGACTTCAGACATATGGACTTTAAGATACAAAACAAATGGTCTGTGTCCCCCCATCTCTCTGCCCCTCCCCTGCTCATGCTCTGTCTCTGTCTCAAAAGTAAAAACATTAAAAAAAAAAAAAAAAGATACAAAACAGATGGGGGAGCCTGGGTGGTTCAGTCAGTTCAGCGACTTTGGTTCAGGTCATGATCTCACCGTTCGTGGGCTCGAGCCCCGCATCAGACTCTGTGATGACAGCTCGGAGCCTGGAGCCTGCTTCGGATTCTGTGTCTGCCTCTCTCTCTGCTCCTCCCCCGCTCATATGCTCTCTCTCAAAAATAAATAAAGATTAAAAAAATTTTTTTAAGATACAAATAGATGAACAAAAGGGAAGGGAGGCAAAATTAATATAAAAACGGAGGGGGACAAAACATAAGAGACTCTTACATACAGAGAACAAACTGAGGGTTGCTGGAAGGGTTGTGTTTGGGGGGGATGGGCTAAATGGGGAAGGGGCATTAAGGAGGAGACTTGGTGGGATGAGCACTGGGTGCTATACATAGGGGATGAATCACTGGAATCTATTCCAGAAATCATTATTGCACTACATGCTAACTAACTTGGATGTAAATTTAAAAATAAATAAAAAATAAAAATAAATGCTCGGTGATAGTCATCACATCACTATGGTATTTAAATTCCTTTTCATACATTTAAAAGAGATACAATAATTTCAAATGTGAATATTTACAATACACTGAAAATTTAATCCTTTTAAGTCAAGATAAAAATTTTAGATGTCAACATCAAAATGTGTGAAAGTATATACATGGTTTCATAAAATATTTTTAGGTAGGGGCACCTGGGTGGCTCAGTTGGTAAAACCTTCGACTTCGGCTTAGGTTGGTGGGTTCCAGCCTCGTGTCAGCTCTGGACTGACAGCTCAGAGCCTGAGCCTACTTCGGACTCTGTGTCTCCCTCTCTCTCTGCCTGTCCCCCACTCGAGCTCTGTCTCTGTCTCAAAAATAAATAAAACATTAAAATAAATAAATACATACATACATACTTTTCTCTTTAAAAAAAGTACAATTTCTGCGAAATAAAATATCAAATAGCAACATTTATATTTGCTATAGATGCCAAAAGCCTTGGCATTTTCAATGAGATGTTTCATGCTTACTCGAGAAGTCATTTATCACAGATGTTCTAAAATGCAATCTCAAATGATTCCACTTACTGAATTGCTGCCTTTGTGTGTGAATGTATGTGTGTCTGTGTGTGTGAGAGACACACACTTTATACTATGAAAGCTATAAAAACCATACATACTTTGAGTGTGCATTCACTAAATGGAACACCAGTAAGTAATGGCCTTTGCCTTACATTATACATATCAAAAATTCTGAATCACGGCTTGGGTGGCTTGGTTGGTAAGGTGTGGGACTGTTGATTTCGGCTCAGGTCATAATCTCCCAGTACGTGGGACAGAACTCTGGGACTGGGTCCACGCTGACAGTCTGGAGCCTGCTTAGGATTTTCTCGCTCTCTCTTTTTCTGCCTCTCTCCTGCTCAAGCGTTCTCTCAAAATTAACAAACAAACAAACAAAGCCTTCTGAGTCCTGTGAAAAAGAAGAGGGATCCTAGGATATTTTTATGTTCAGAATAACTAGTGCTAAATACTAACGAGCATTTTGCTAGGAACTGTATTAAGTACTTTCCATAAAATACCTCATTTATTCCAGCAGGCAACTCTGTGTGGTATTATTTCCATTGCTTTATATATAAGGAAATGGAAGCTTAGAAAATTCAATTTTCTGAAACTCTAGCAGAGTCAGGAAATCTTACCATAACTGAACAGTTCGCTGCCTTCAATCACGAGAAAGTGTCAAGGAATCACATTTATTAGCACTTCAAATAATTTTTCGAAACAAGGAACATCTAACGATGCTTGACTCTTAAGACACTCCTGTCCAGGTTAGCTTGGGTCAGTGGTTCTCACGGTGTTTAACAGCTTTGTTAAATAAAGCACAGACTTGGGGCGCCTGGGTGTCGCAGTCGGTTAAGCGTCCGACTTCAGCCAGGTCACCATCTCGCGGTCCGGGAGTTCGAGCCCCGCGTCAGGCTCTGGGCTGATGGCTCAGAGCCTGGAGCCTGTTTCCGATTCTGTGTCTCCCTCTCTCTCTGCCCCTCCCCCGTTCATGCTCTGTCTCTCTCTGTCCCAAAAATAAATAAATGTTGAAAAAAAATTTTTTTTTTTAAATAAAGCACAGACTTGCGGAATCCCTCTCGCTCCCAGGGTGGGGTAGAGAATCAGAATTCCTAGCAAGTTCCCCGGTGCTGCTGCTGCTGCTCCGGAAGCTACGCCGTAAGAATCTTTCAAAGGTTTATGAGTTTTAATCCTAAAACTATTGGGACAGTGTTGGTCTGGGCAGAGCGATGGTAAGTCCTAACGTGTTTCAGAAGCCTAGACTCCACTTTCTCCTGCGACAGGAACCCCAAATCATGGGCGTGCCCCGAGGCCTTGTCCGCCGCCAACTCCGCCCTGGGGTGTGGCTCCGGCCCCGCCGCGGGCCTCGGCACTCCATTGCTCTCCCCGCCAGCCTCGCCAGGCCCCGGCCCCGCCCCCCGGTGGGCCCATTGGCTCGCAAGGTCCACAGGGCGCCTCTGCCCTCACGCCCATTCCGCAGAGCTGGTCAGGCTGAGGCGCTGCTGCCGGAGCGCGGGGTGTGAGACGTGGCTCGTCGGCGGAAGAGCCATGTTGGACTTTGCCATCTTCGCCGTTACCTTCCTGCTGGCGTTGGTGGCAGCGGTGCTCTACCTCTATCCGGTAATCGCCGTCTCGGCCTCGGGGACTCTGACAGCCGCCCCAGCCTCTGTTGCCGTATCCGCGTCGCTCTGCGCGCAGTGGGCTGCAGGGAGCGGGCCTGAGAGGAGGGCTCCCGCTCTCGCTTGTGTTCCTGTTCCCGCATCGCGCAGCTGCAGCTCTCGGGCACGTGACGCCTCGCGGAGTGCGCGCGGGCTGCGCTGGGAGAGCGGAGCGGGCGGCTGGAGGACCCCTCTGGCGCGCACGGCCAGGGACGCGTTGCCGCCTGAGGGCTTAGGGCCGTTTTTCTGGGTCCTGCTGCCTACCTGCTCCCGGCACTGCCACGCCTCTGTCACAGGCTGCGTGAGCAGTACTTTGGGGTGACTTTTGGGCAGTAATCCTGCCAAACCCAAATTCCATTTTCCAGGGTGTCTGGGAGGAAACTTGAGGGTGCGAGAGTGCTCCACTCCTTTGTCCTTTTCTGAGGATTCTCCTGGATTTTTTTTTTTTTTCTCCTTCGTGTCCTGCCTTTCGATCAGTCTTTCCGTCTGTTAACGAAATCCAAAATCCTCACGGCCCAGATCGGTCTTGCTTTTCGCAGGGCCTCGGAAGCAAATGGAGCTGTGGAATGAGCGTTGTGGTGGGTTAGTTCCTGAGCTTGAAGTAGCGACTTTGCGTTAGCTCTGAATCTTGTTCTACTAGACTTATCTGCTTGCCTTTATCAGCCTCAGGGGGTGATTCTGAGAGGGAAAGGAGCTAGTAGATGAGCAATCATCTCTTAACCTGTTTACAAAAGACGGTGGTGTTTTCGTGGAAAAAGTTAAGTAGCTGAGCTCCCCAAAACCTCACTGATAATAATGAGGGAACACCTTAAATGTTCAGAGATGGTAAATGGATTAGATTGTAATATTGCAGCTACACAACCTGTAATGTCCTGTATCCTATTTATCTAGAAACTAAAGGTTTAGTGACTCCAGATCCTGAGGTTTTTTTTTTTTTTTTTTTTTAATGTGTGTTTATTTTTGAGAGGGAGAGACAGCACAAACGGGAAGGGCAGAGAGGGGGAAGGGCAGAGAGAGAGAGAGAGAGAGAGAGAGAGAAGAGAAGAGAGGGTGACAGAATCCGAAGCAGGCTCCAGGCTCTGAACTGTCAGCACAGAGCTGGTTGCAGGGCTCGAACCCACCTGCTATGAGATCGTGACCTGAGCCGAAGTTGGGACCCTCCAACAACTGAGCCACCCAGGTGCCTCTCCAGATCTTGAATTTTTGATAATCTTTAAATGAGATTGCCCTTTGATTAGTCTATAGGAAGGAGCACTGTTTAGTCTTTCAGCCAGATACGGTTCCATGTACTGGCTATACAGCAGTGAACAAACCAGGCAGAAAATTCATATTCTGGTGAGGGGGAACAGATAATATAAACAAATAACACTAAAATACTAGTATTAAGTATTATGGATCAAAATAAAGTTGGGAACAGGTAGTGTTATTTTAAAGTAGGATGGTCAGTTTTTTTAAGGAAAAATATTCCAGAGTGGCTGCACCAATTTGTATTCCTACTAACAATGCAAGAGGATTCCTTTCTCTCTACATCCTTGCTAACAGTTGTTATTTCTTGAGTAGAACTATCCTACAATCCAGTAATTGTACTACTGAGTATGTAACAAAAAATGCAAAAACTCTAATTCGAAGGGATACATGCATCCCTATAGAGCATTATTTATAGCAGCCAAATTATGGAAGTAGTGCAAGTGTCCATCCATAGATGAATAAAGAAGATGTGGTGTATACTTACAATGGAATATTATTCAGCCATAAAGAAGAATGAGATCTTGCCATTTGTAGTGACATGGATAGAGCTAGAGAGTATAATGCTAAGTGAAATAGGTGAGAGAAAGACAAATACCATATGATTTCATTCATTTTTGGCATTTAAGAAAATAAATGAGCAAAGGGGGGAAAAGAGACAAACTAAGAAACAGACTCAACTATAGAGAACAAACTGATGGTTATGAGGAGAGGTAGTGGGAGGATGGGTGAAATAGGTGATGGGGTTTAAAGAGTGCACTTGTCACGGTGAGCCCCACATGTTGTGTGAAAGTGTTAAATCACTATATTGTACACCTGAAACTAACACAGTATATTAACTATACTGGAATTTAAAATTAAAAATATTAATAAAATAGGATGACCAAGAGGTAAGGAGAAATTGGAAAAGAGACCTGAAGGAGATGAGGGAGGGAGCAAGCCATTCAAGTATCTGAGAAAGCATTCCAGACAAAGAGAATAGCATATGCACATCTTCAGGGGGAAACATCCTAATGTGTTCCAGGAAAACAGAAGACTAGTGTGGCTGGAGTGGAGTGAGGAAGAAACTAGTAAGAAAGATAAAATCAGAATGATGGGGAGGAAAGGCAGGTTTTTGTTGTAGGCCAGTTTATGGACTTGACATTCATTCTGAAGTAGGCCACTGGAGGGTTTCAACAGAAGAGTGACATTTTAAATTTAAGGGAGTTAAAAATTTGATATTATTAGTTAAATCTTAAGCAAATCATTTTGACTGATATGTTAATAAACTTGTGGACCTAGGGTAAGAGTAGAAGTAGGCAGGGTAGTTAGGAAGCTGTTAAAATAATTTTGGTGAGATCTGGTGCTAGCTTGATAGCAGAGATAGTGTGGAGGGAAGAGGGGTATATTTCATTTGGACCATAGACAATTTAATAGGAGGGAAGGTGGAATATATCGGCATACATGTAGGCAGATGATAGTCATGGTGTGGAAGTTATTTCCTGATTGCTTTCATTTTTTCAATGGAAAAGTAGCAAGATCAGTTACTGGTGGGGATAGGGGATTTAAAGAAAGAAAAGGAGCAGAAGAGCCATTTGGAAGATTACAGAATGATAGACTAGGGAAGTGTGTGATTTCCAGGCAGTTCACTGGGGGTTCATGAAATTAAAATAAGACTAGTCAGCATGGTTGTGTTTCTCTTCAGCTGTGTGGATTCAGGGACAGTTTGTCAGATGTTGGATTTAATTAGAATTGGGGTTTTGCTGGGACACCAGGATGTAGGGCAAAAGGATACAGGACAAAGGAATGTTTATAATGACGTACCATGGAATCTAACCTGAGTAAAGTGGAAAATGAATATGTAAGTGGGTGTGTTAAAAGTACTTTTTGGGGTAAAAATAGTTTTTGGAGTGAAGATAATAAAAATAGTTGAGAAGGAAAGATAGGAGGTGCTTGGAGATTTGGATGCTTAATGTTAAAATTCTGGAGATGTTGAAGTTATTGGTCATGTAAAAATCTAATTTATGGGGACGCCTGGGTGGCTCTGTTGGTTGAGCGTCCAGCTTTGGTTCAGGGCATGATCTCGTGGTTTGTGAGTTCGAG